CACCTTGCTCTCCAAGGCTTTTGCCCAGCGCACGCTGAGCTGACTTATCGCCCATCTGTCCTGAAGTATACCGCATGAGGTCAGTGGAGCACCCAGACCTTGAGCAATTTTCAAGTGTTCCGTGCATTGGAAAACGCCACAGTGATCCGAAGGCCTGAACTTTAGGTTAATGGAGAATTTTTTTCTTTTTACACTTTTGAATGAAAACAAAAATTCTATCAGCTGTTAGGCAAGCTTGAAAGTTTCTGCAAACTTTCTGTTCGCATACCATACGGGATATTTTTCTCTTGTGAGAGAACAGTTGATATTTCACTCTTTCACAGGAATTTTGTTGCTAGACAAATAGAGAACTCTACCTAATTTATGTATAGACATATATATTTGTTGGTATTTTTTCGGCTGATTTGGTACATTTTATTTGCCAATTGGTACAATATTAAGAAACGCATTTATCATCCCTGGGATATAATACTTAAACTATAATTTTCTCAACAATAATAACTGAAAGTCCGCAAGGATACCCAAGGATAAAATTCAATATTTTTCAATTCTACAAAATTTTATCTTTTATTTGGTACCCATATTTTTATTCTACATACATTACACTAAATTTTGTATATAAGTTTTTGAATTAATCATATATTTGAAACTTTCAAGTCCTTTTAAAAACAATCTTAATGTCGGAGAGAAAAACTAAATTAACCAAATTAATTAATAAATTGTATTTCGCATAAAAATGTCTTAATTTAATCTTAACTTATTCTTTGCTTCGTCTTAATACCATGTGAAGAAATTCATACTATTCCATAAAATCAATAGTGGCGGTATAACTGTTGTTTAATTTTTTAGATGTTAATTAGGTAGATCAATGTGCGTACATATATATAAAAGCAAAAGAAATGATTATTGTATTTATTGATAAATTTGGCTTCTGGTTACAAGAATAATATCTTTTCGGAGAAACACCCGACTTCAAAAAAAGGAGAAAGTTATCAATTCGTAGGAATAATTTTTATATTTACAACATACAAATAAGGCACTACTCACACTTGTGGTCAGCTGATTAAGTGAAGTGACATTTTGACTAGTTTTGGCTTTTTTTCTTTTGTTTATTTAATGTTTATATTTTTGGTATAAAAGTTTAGCACTTTACCTAACCATCGCCACATAAATCGTTGTTTATATAAATTTTGGGTATGCAGTTTTGAAGCTCATTAAGTTCATTAAGTTTTCTCTTTATGGAAAAAAATGCACAAATGCACAAATGCAAAAAAAAAAACAATATTAAAAATCAACGCGATTTTCAACCGTCTTGAAATTTGCACTTTAATCTAATAAGATAAAAAACTGCATACACACAATTTTTCTAAAAATTATTGATTAAGAATTTTAAAATTTTTGCAATTTGGTGCAGTTGTTAAAGTTGGTTGAATTTTCATACAAAGCCTTTTAGAAAAAAAAATATCAACAGTAAGCAAAAAAAGCAAGATAGTCAAAATGTCTCTTGACTTAATCAGCTGGACATAATGGTATATCCTTCGTCCTTTACTGATTTCCATAATTTAACTCTGCGAAAAACGCGAGAAGTACTTAGAAATAAAAGAATTGTGGGTGGATTCAACGCAAGGCTGAAATGAGACTTCTTATTATAATGCAGGCACGCTAAAATTACACAAAAACTGCCGAGACACGTAAACTTAAATGGAGTCGTAGATTACGGATCTGTATACCTTTTTTTCTAGATCAGGTAATTTTCTTAAGACATTTTCATTTTAAATTTGCATTGCGAATGAAAAAATGAAAATTTCAATATGTAAAACGTTACTCATGCGCCTTGAAGGAATATGTACCAGGATGGCCATGTACGATATGGCGTATGAGTAACATTACTTCTACTTCTTCTTCTACTTCTTACTAAAAATTATTACACAGTTTCATTTGACCCTTTTATGACCACTCCGATGCCCGGGCAAGATCAGCCGTAAGCAGTGCCTTCTCCACGCATCCCGACTCTGCGGATGTGCGACGAACCCTTTCCGGATTACTCGTGTAATCATTACATATGGAACAAAACCAAGAAAAAAAACCAACACCAGCAGCACGCTAGTGGACTTTAAGAGGAAGACATAAAGCAGTTAGAGAAATAATAGCTCCTCACTTTCCCGCAGTCAGATAAGACGTTGCAAGTACGCCTGACGGCGCCAGCCAGAAGAAGGATAAACCTGCTTGAAGAAGTCAAAAGGCTCTCAAATAAACCCATTTAGCTAGACATATGTGCGGAATCTTTGGATGCCTTAGCGAAGGCGCACTACCGGATCCGCTTCAGTATCCGTAAGGCTAGAAGGCGGTTATTCCTTGGTAAGGTTATCCCCATAAACGAAGATCTGGGGTTGATGGAGATGGCGAGCTTCTCCTGGGTGTGAAGCTTTCTGCTGACCCTGACACGAAGAATTAAAATTGACCAAATTAATCTGCAGCACTCGAAATGCATTACAAATAATTTAGCTGTTCTCCTCAGCGGGGGGGGACATAGATATTAGCTTAATGCAAGAGATCTGGTTCAAGAAAAAGACAGTCATTGTACTAAACGTAAAGAACTACAAATTATACTTCAAGAACGTATAAATGCATTCCTTTGCTTTGATTTCCGTGCAGCATACACATCACTGGTGAAGGTCAAGACCAAGGACATAACTCCAGACAAATTATTGTTGTCGGCTGCGATGCGAATGCTAGGAACCTAGTCTTAGGTAGTACTACAGAGAAATATCGAGGTGAATCACTACTACAATTCCTGCCATTGACTACGAGAGTATTCACAGTAGTAGAATTTTAAGCAATAGGCGCATTTGCAATTTGTGTTAAACATCAACCAATAAAGTCCTTAATTACGCAGGTAAATTATCTGCAAACTATATTATTCGTATAACTACATGATTTCATTCCATGAGCTTTTAAATCTCGCAGAGCTTAACTCATTAACGATGTTTTTTTATTACGATGTGGAAACTTTGACTTTTCAAAACTCGTATTGATTCAAACCAGAAAAGAATTGCAGTTCTTAATTTTTAATATTTTTCCAACATATTCGCACTAAAATTCACATAAATATTATATGGCACTTCTCTTTAAAGTCTTTAGGTTTATTCATACATATTTAAGCAGCTTGAATTCAAATAATTTTTCTTAAAAAAAAATACTTATTTTAATCACACCTTTAACATCAACATCCTGCCACTACTTCTCGATATCCTTCGTACACACGCGAGTCCTGTCCAAATCCGTTAATAAAACGCGCTCAAGACGCGTTCAATAGGCAAAGAAACCACTTCAGCCAAGACGTGAGTATTATCACACGCAACCGAATACAAAGCAAAATTAAAAAAGAAATATCAAAGCGAAAAACCACAAACCAACGAACTTTTATAGACAAAATCAAGCCGAAATCAAATTGGCAAACCGATGCTGCGCTTGAAATTTAAAGACTGTGAAGCGAGGCAAATGATTCTTGACTTTTATATGCAAGTGCCGCAACTAATGTCAACACTTGAGCAAAGCGGGGGAAGTGAAGACAAGTGGCAGCAGCAGCGGCGGGCGAACATATCAATGCAACAAGAATGCTTGAAGCACATGGCGCTATGCACCAAAAAAAAAAAAACAAGTGGTTATAACAACAATAGCAATGACAATGGCAATAGCAACAGCAACAACAACAACAACAACAGCAGCAGAGGCATTACTTGGCTATGTAGCATCCAGCATCTTTAAATTGCAACGACTCAAGCTCAAGCTAGCTCTCCACGATCACTGCTGGCAGTTGAGGACACCAACCGGTGCATCGGCGCACTGGCACTAACTGCAACGATAAAATTGAAATAAAATAATAATACATACATATGGTAACTCGTACAAAGAATACAGCAATAAAGTTGGGTTAGTCAGCGAGCGGCACAGTTAAATTGTCCAATACTAACAATGCGCTAATTTAATGCGGCAGCTTTCGGAAAAGCGTTAAATAATTGGAAGAGCGTCGCGCAGTCGCTGCCACAGGCAAAGCAAGTTTCAGGTTTGTTTGTTCATTGTTTTTTTTTTTAAGGAGCGGCTAAGGGTCCAGCAAAACACTCAACCAGCACAAAATAAAACTTTGGAGAAGACCAAACAAAGAAAGACTCGAAGTGGAAAAAACGAAACTTGAGAAGCTGGGAAATCGCACAATCGATTTAGGCAAATTGTGCGCATGCAACATGCCACACCGTCAACAACAACAGCAGCAACACCAACCAATGGCTAGAAGAACAACGGCAGCAACAACGACGACGACGACGGCACAGTGACGTAAACGAATTTAAGCAAAGTCATGTAAGCCTGCTCTGGGGCGCGATGTCAGTTGGTTAGCGGTTGTATTGCCCCGTCGACAACGCCACCAACGCTGTCACACCGGAATAGTTGCCGCATGGGTTACAGCAAGGCGAATTGCCAGACTCGCCGCGCAGTATCGCCCTGTGCCTGCACACCCACTAGTGTTGCCACGGGCAAATCTTTTTAACTACCAAAAATTCCTACCAAAACCAACGAAAACCTACCAAAACATTTTTGAAGGTTTTATTTTTTTTCAATGTCAAGCTTATTAAAAATATAGATAGCATAAAATTTAGTAAAACCAAGGCACATTAAACAGGTAGTATCAGTAGAGCAAAAACAACATTTGCGTGTATTTTGTTGTTGCTTCTGGTATCGAAAGTGTCAAAAACTGTTCTGAATTTTTTCTTCTAAAATAAAGCGTGCCATGTGAAAAACAAAAAATTATAAAAAATAAAAAATTGAAATTGGAAAAAATAAAAATTGATGCAACTTTCTTTCCTAGTAAATTTGTTTGCTTCTCGAAGCATTGATCCATCTTTTACAAGAGGCAGTAATCAGCGGTTGTGCTGCTGAGTTGGGCGAACGTTCCAAAAGCTGCTATTCAATCGCTTGTTTTGTATGGAAAAAGGTTTCACATGCAAATGGATTTTAACAATTCAGAATTTTTTTGAGAAAAAATTAAAAATATTTGACATTTTCGAGACCAAATAATTTGAAAATAAATCAAATCAGCTCCTCTACTGATACTACCTGTTCAATGTACCTTGAGTAAAACTAAAAGAGCTAGTCCAATAAAAACAAACTTGCAGTGTCCTGTCAGGACGCCAGTACGAGTTCAAAGACTCTCTGGGTTAAGTTCAAGGAGTCTTTCGGAGTTCACCTGGTAGAACTTATGAATCTCTTTGTGGGTAGCAATATGAAATTCTTCCCAGCCCCTAAATAGCGCTGCAGTGTATCCTTTAGATGAACCGCAGAAGCGCAGACTTCTCTGGAATCTTCGTCCAAGTACCTCTGCACCAGTACTCCCGTCGTCCATCTTCGAACCTTCGGTATACCATACTTGCGACCTTTCGTCAACCATAGTTATTATCGCTTCACAGCAGTGCCCTTAAGGGATTCTGACTTTGTAGGGTTTTAGAAGGATAACTCGTCATCCACCAGGAATGCTTTGAAAACCACCAAATTACCCCGAAGATCGACACTTTTCATGCTGATCGTATTACTGTTATTGTCGCGGAATCTAAATGGAAAAAAACTTACCAGTTTGGGTAGGAACAGCAGATGTGTGGCAACACTGGCAACCACCCACATTTTGGCACTTGAAGCGTCGGCGCGCAAGCATTTCGGCTAACTAATCGAGCAGTGAGCGCGTCTATCACGGCAGCGTCTGATTTCTATTGCAAGTTTTTATTAGGCACTTCTTTTTTTTTGCTTTTTATTGTCGTTTTTCCCCCTCTTTTTGTTGGTGCAGGTTATTCTTCCGTGAACCTACTTGAAGGGTTCCCAGCTGTTGCCGCGTTGTCTGATTGCGGTGTGCCGCATTGCAACGTCAATGCTTGCCTAGCCCTTTTCGATTTTTTATTTTTTTTGCATATCTTTGTTTTGAAGTTAACCATTGACTCTTTGCCAATGACTTATTTTTTCCAATTTCTCACATTTAATTGAAACATATTTTGCATTTACTATAATTTCGATTGAATGAAAATTTAGTTGCTATGCGGACTTTGATAAAGTGGCTAATTTTTCAAAGTGTTAACGACTTATTACAAACATCGAGCTGGGGCTGGAAGTAGATGCGATCACAATGGGAGTCTTTGCTGATAGAGAGGGTGCGTTTGACAACGCAGGCTTTGACTCTAGCCTTTGTACCACGGCAGAGGTTGTGAAAGGATGCCTTCAGGACAGGGTGCTCTCACCTCTCTTGTTGTGTTTGGTAGTGGACTCCCTATTAACGGAAAAGCAAGACTTCATTCGCATCCAAGCTAACACGCATATTGTTTATGTACCGTCATCAGGTAAGTCCCTCAGGATAGTTTGTGTAAACACACAGAAAATCCTAAATAAGATTGAATTGAGATCTGAAGGTAAATAGAGTGCTGAAAGTGTTCGGATAGTGTCGGAGAATCTTTCGTGACACCAAGGGTCTGAGACCGACTATGGTATTCTGGATATAGAAAGTTTTAGTCAGACCAATCTTCACATACTCTGCTGTAGTATATTGGCGCAGAATCATGGTAAGAACCATGGTTTCTGTCCTAAACAGGCTACAAAGGAGCATGTGTACAAAGATACACCGGCTCTTAATGCCTTGGGGCAATTAAAACAATATATCGGCTGCATTCTTTTGGATTGTGGCACGACGATCGGAGTACCGGGCACAGAGATTTGTTAAGAAGATTGTCAAAGCAATAGCCTTTTTTTGGCATCTAGTGACAAACGAATGCCTGTTGTCTCCTTTGGAAAAAATACGTCTTTAGATATCCTACCAGCGAGTAATGGAGATATCCAGATACACTCCTAAAGACTATAAATGGAGCTGGATAGCATGTGGGCGGCAAGTTCAGATGCTTTACTACTTTGGGTGCAATGGCAACGGTCTTTCAATCGGAAGTCTTTGCAATACTGAAAGTGGCAGACTGGATAATTCCCGAAAGGTGAAGTGGACATAAAATCAGGATCAGCAGTGACAGACAAGCTTCTCTAAATGCCTAGGAAACCACTCTCACCTCTTCAAAAATAGTCCCGGAATATATGTATATATGTAAGTTGAGGCTGAACTCCGTTACAAGGTGTAATGAGCTTGAATTTTTGTGGGTGCATTCAGCCTGATATGAGAGAGAGAAGAGAGAGAGAGAGAGAGAGAGATAGAGAGAGAGATGCGAAAACAGGCGAATGAAGCATTAGCGCAAGTTTCGGCCCTATTACAAGTTATTTATTGGGAGCACCTTGGGAGGAGTTATTCTCTAGTTGCCGTAAGCCAAGATACGCACCCGCCTCTGTGAAACAAAAAATGTTCATCCAACATGACTCTCATTACCCCTCAGCTGCCCTTAATGAGCACTCTTCAACAAGCCAAAATATGCGAGCAGTACTGAGCTATGCTGCCTCTCTTTGCTCGCCTCGGTCTAGTTGCATGCAGTTGAGAAAGCTACAAACTTGTCAGAAATGCCGCACTCCGGACATCGACAGGATGCCTTCTGATGTCGCCCGAGCACCATCTCCATTTCGAGGCCCAAAATTTTCCCTGTAAGAGAGCATAGTAAAATGCTCAGGAAACAGTTTTTTTTTGGGAGCGCCATAGACGTGATCACCCTAATAGGCCCTTGCTCGAGGAAAAGCCCTCGCCCAGACACTTTAGAGAATATCTTTTGAAACATAGCCCACTTCGAACATTCTTTGGACACGACCACACACCGAAGGGTAATCAACAGCATTCATAGAGAGTCGGTGACCACCTGGCATGACTCTCGACCCATGAATAGCGTGATCGGAGCCCAATTACCACCTCTCACAGACACAGAGCTTCGAAAGCCACGAGAAACTCACGTAGCTCTGGCTCAATTATGGTCAGGGTACTGTAGCTTCCTCGACAGCTACTTGTCCAGACTCGACCTCGATATCCCCAATGAGTTTCCGGCATGTGGAGACTACTCTAATGGCGCCAACCACATCTTCACATGTCAGCTCAAACTCACAGAGCTAACACCGCTCTCCCTCAGCTCCAACTACTTGGAAACTGCTCCTTTTCTGGGCCTACCGTTGGTTGAGCTTGACGACAATGATCAATGATCAATAGACAAACCGATCAAGGCGGGGGTTAGAAGTGCCGCCACAACAACAACAGTAGTTGACCAAATTTTCCGATTATTACGTGCCACCGTCGAAGAAGTAGTCGGATTTCAGCGAAGCCTCTAAAGTTAAAAAAGATGACGCCTACAGTGCCCCGCTGGCATCGAGCACAATGGGAGATATGTGTGACCGATATAGGGCCGAAAGGGCGAAGGGATATGTATGCGAGGAGCTACGAACATTTTATTTAGAAAGTTACGCAAGATTTCAAGACAAGGGCGAACTACACTTTTTCTTCATACTAAATTGTGACAGCACTGACGATTAACCCAAACTGCTAGTTGATGCTAGTGGAAACGATGGCCCATGGCCTGACTATGAC